TTGCTTCAGGTTTTATCTGTTTCCCTCACAATCATTTCATTACTAACAATAACAGCGATCAGCGTAGAGAAGTACCTGGCTCTAACGCTTCATCTACGATATTGTGAATTAGTTACCACCAAACGAGTGATTTGCATTCTTGTTGTCATCTGGTTGTCCTCAATTGCGGCTGCTTCTACGTTAAGGTTGCACGATATACTGTTTTACAAGATGGCTTCTCCAGCGGTTTTAGTTTGTTTGGTTTCAAATATCTTCATATACCAAAAACTGTATCGTACCTGCCGATTGCATCATCTAAGGATACGTCATCAAGTTGTACAGCTGCATGATCAACACATCCATCAAACAGCCATTGCAGATGCTCGGTTCCGAAAATCTGCTAAAACTATATTTTTTATTTTATTTTTCATGATAATATGTTATTTACCTTTCTGTTTTTACACTGTGGCTCTTAGAATAATCATGAACGATGACGTCGAGAATCTTCCTCGTTATCCAATGCTTCTGACAGTATACCCCTTCACTTGGACAATGGTTTTTTTAAATTCCACAATTAATCCAGCCTTACTGTACTTCCAACTTAGTGAGTTTCGCATAGCTGTCAGAACACTTTTGAGGAAACTTTGTAGGTGTAGAAAACATAGGATAAGTTCGGGATCCATGAGACCTCCTGATGTGAAACATCAAATTTCTTTGCGTTTAACATTTCGATTCACTAAAACATAAAAAAGGAAACTTTTTCTGCACAATACATTCAAAGGGAAAGAGTCAGTCTGAGTTGTTCAGACTCACAAAGAGTCAAGACGATACGAAAATGAGATTTATTAACATTTAAAGTAGATATGAATTCTCGCTTCCGTATTTGTCGCAAAAATCATTTCTTTTAGGGAACGTGGTCCATGGATATTATTAGGTCGCAAATGAGTGTTTTTTTTCCCAAAGTTTTTCTATTACTTTCACGGGCCAATCAAGTTCCACCAGGGATCAATTTGAAACTCAAAGAGAAAATTGGAAAAGACCCAGAAGCTGCACTGAGTCATCTGCATGTTTTTGTGTAAAAAGAAATCAGAACAATAGTCGATGTACATATTTATGTAATGTACACAGGGTCTTAAGCGCTACGTGACGCATGCAGAAAATTAAGGTTTACGGAGCCCAGTTGGTGCTATCTCGTATTTCTCATCAACTTTTTTTTCATCAATTCAACTTTATTTTTCATCACCTCAGTTTTTCCCGGTACGACTTCAACTTTCCGGCACGATTTCAACTTTCCTTCTCGACTTTAACTTTTTCGCACGACTTCAACTTTCCGGCACGACTTCAACTATCCAGCACGACTGTAACTTTCCGGCACGATGTTAATTTTCCGACAGTGTTACAGTAGGTAAATTACGATCGGCCGGCGGTGATCCGCCGCGTTGATTCTTGAGTTGAGTGTTCTGGTGGAAAAAGTTGAAGGTCGTGCCATGAAAAAATTGGTGCCAGAAAAATCGTACCGGAAAATTAATGTCGTGCCAGAAAATTAAAGTCGTGCAGCAAAGTTGAAGTCAATCAGGATATTTGAAGTCATGCAGGAAAGTTGAAGTTGATGAGAAATACGAGATGGCACTAACTGGGCTCCGTAAAGGTTGTCTTTTGTTGATTCACGTTTCATCAAAGAAGAATAAAAGACATGAATCAAGAATCAATAATTCGCGAGGAAATGTGCAGTTTTACTTGGGAGCGCCAAAATATGACATTTCTATTTGCTGGATGCTACGTTAAGTGAAACTTCAGAGAATCTAGTTTAACTATTAGAACAGGACTCATCCGATGGAACACCCTGATTACAGTTCACTTATCCCGTTTATTTTTTATGTAACATATAACAACCAACCAATCATTTCCAATTTGCCTAAAGAACAACAGAGTACATCAGTGTTAATGGATAGCACGCGCACGAGCTGACAGCAATTAGGCAAACAACCACGAATCTTGGTCTTTTGTTTGTTGAAGAGAATCATAAGTAACGTGATACAAAACTCCAAAGATTCAGTTGCTGTCAGAACAGACATTGCCACAAACAGACCCAACTGACCGCCAATGTCAGATACGAGGCTGCTCAACTAAAAAGGATAAAATTGAACACACTCATTAAGATAAATACTGAGGGAATTTGATTTGTGATCAATTGGCGTCACTGTTATAAATTTGGGCGAGCTCCGTACGTACCGTATATCCTTGTTTCTGTATGATATGCTCGCGAGTCATAGATGAGTAATGAACATCCATTCGAATAAGGTTTTTCCTGATGGGTGGAAAAAATGAATTTATTTGATGCTGTGAAGAGGCAAATACAAGGATTTGATCCCATGATATATATTGATAAAGTATCAAACTTTTATGTATTCCTGTATCTTTTATTACTTCAATGCGTATGCTTGTTTAAAACACTCCACACTTGGCAGTGTCTCCCTTGTTTTTTGTTTGTTTGTTTGTTTTTTTTAATAATACTTGAATAAAGATTTTAAAGTTCCTCTGACCTTGTCATTTGACAATCCTTTAATAAGTGAACCTGACTGAAACTTGTTTGTGAAATTTATTTCATTAGTAGAATAGATATTGAAATAGAGAACCTACAGAAGCAGCAAAACTGAGAAACGGATGATTAAAATGAATGGACTCTTAACCCGGTGAAAAGTGTCCCGCTTTCACATCATTTTAGATCGAATAACTGTAAGGACATACAAGGTATTCCATTTTAATTTTCAAACCATTCTTCACTTTTCCTTTAAATGCTCTGTCACTCTGCAGGAAATAGTTTTTTCGAAGCAGAAATAGCATTAGTGAGTGTTTGGTGATCTCGCGGCGTTGACTTAGACCAATAATTAGTTTTTTTATGAGGAAATATTAAAGGCCTTCCTTTCTTGATTAATCTCAAATTAATAATTAAAGACTCATTGCAAGTAGCTTGATTGCTCCAAGTTGTGAACATTCCGGCTATAAGCCCGTCAGCAAGAAGTGCCGAACTCAGCTGGTCTTTCTATAAAAAGTTCTTACGAACAGTTTTGGCGAATGGTTTTCAAGCAAGGGCTATGGCGGATCTTATCGAATATTTCCATTGGAACTACGGCATTGATAGCAACGGAACATTCTTACGGACTGCATGGTGTCTGTCTATTCAACATCAGACGTTCTGCATTGGACAAGTGGAATACATAACACCGACTAACTACGAAAGAAGGCTAAAAACTGTAGTCGAAAGACTGAAACGGGCAGTTCACAGCTCTTGTTTTTATCCGCCATCGCCATACTCCATTTGCAAAAGCTGCTAATCGTCAATTAAGTTTTATTTCGCTGTCCAGCATTGTATCTGCCACGTTTTGGCATTGTCACTAAGTGTGTCCATTCTGTTGGTAAAGACAATGAAACCAATCAAAGCTTTTCAAATTACTTCTGCTGCAAACTGTTTGAAGAAGATATGTCTGAGCACAAGTGGCCAGGTTATGTCGCTATTTTTATTAACCCTGGCTGAAGTTCTTATGGCGATAATTTGGGCAGAAGTTGATTCTCCTTCTACGAAAGAATTTGTTATAATTACTTGCAGTCCTTAACAAGGAATTATTGGACTTTCATTGAAACTTTCTATGCTGACATATTCGATCTTTATAATCTCGTGTTTGTGCCTTCTACGCTTTTAAAGCTCGCACCCTTCCAGAGAACTTCAACGACGCTCGTTATACTGACTTTGCGACTTATGTTCTTCTTCTTTCGTGGATTGCATTCTTTCCTGTACAAACTTCCTTAGGGGGGTGGTACGTGGTGGTACGTGGCTGTGGTATCATGCACCATAGCTCTTGTGACCTCGTATGGTTTGCTGACGTGCATGTTTGCGCCAGAAATGTATTTTATATTTGGTAAACCGGAACAGAACACAAAAGAATTTCTTGGAAACGAGCCTAGGACAGCGAACGATATTGTGCCCGCGGGCCGATTTTGAATACATTTTGAAGATGTGATAAACAGCAAAAAGATATCAGTCTTACAGAACCGCTCTGCAATATTTAATTCGCTTTAGTTTAGCCATGATCCTGTCATCGTTGTGATATGACACTAAATCGTAGGGTAGGAACCCACAGACACGCCCAAGAAAGGATTGCTGAAAGTTTGCTATACAAATTGCCCTCTGATCACAAAGGTCGGCCTCTCTATCGGTAAATCATTTACAATCTTACTGGGGTAGTTTACAGAAACGTTCATTCATGTAGCATTTTATTTCTAGTCCAGTCCCTTAAAAGTAGAGTCACCCTCTCTATGGTTTCTTCAAGAAGTATTTTGCCTTTTGAATCACCTATTCATATCTTTGTTTGGCCAAAAGTCATTATGCTATGTGATTCCAATTTTCGGCGTTGCTTAGCGTGTTAAAATATTTAAGTATAACGATATTCAACTCCCTTATTCGCACATGAGTGAATGTTTTAGTTAAGTCTAAGTCCTTCCTGAGCCAAAGTTTGTTTTAAGTTGCCTCCACTGCAAACAGACTATTCGCGAACAGAATGTATTCAGTTTTACACTGGAAATATATCCTTAAGAGATAGATAATTTGTGAAATTGGCGTTTACGGTTCTCTAAGTTCCAGGCGAGAAAACCTATTCACATAGTTAAAAACGCTAAAAGGGGTTACAGGTAGAATAGCAGGTAGTGAAAAAGGTTTTCCTTTCATTGCACAACCTAAACGACCTTTTTACAATAAATATTTGACATGAGTCGAGCTTGTGGCTTGACCGGGCCATTGTTGAATTAATAATCAAGACAAATTGAATACAGCTGTGGCTGCTACTGAAACGACTCGGCTTTCAACCAAACCTCAATGCATGTTTATTTGAACTGAAAACTGCAAGTCATTTGAATCCGAAATTCATCACAAAATGACCGCATGTACTGACACCAACACCATAACAGAACTTTCAAAAATAAAAACAGAAGCAGATAAACTGGACTGCGCTGTTTGTGGAGACAAGTCGACCGGGAAACACTATGGAGTCAGCACATGCGAAGGTTGTAAAAGTTTTTTCAAGCGCACTGTCCGAAACAGTACATCATACACTTGCCGTGGAAATAACAACTGTACAGTGGATAGAGACAATCGAAGTCGCTGTCCATCTTGCCGATTTCAAAAGTGCCTCAGCACTGGGATGAAGAAAGAAGGTAACCGTATGTTTTTGTTATTCATATTCATAATCTTTGTGTTTAACATAATATTCTTTGTTTTAAAAAAAGGCTTTCGATGCTTGGTTTCTCAGATCTGTAATCTGTTTGTAATTTCTTTCATTTTTTTTCCGATTTTGCTTTACGTTTGACGGAGCTTTCCATTGTTAATTACTAATTGACTATCATACTAACTAATACTAACCCAAAATAAAATCTCGAAGGTTTTTGTGAAATTTCAAATTTCTGAACTGTTTATTCTTTTAAACAATGAATCGAACTCCAAACTTTTTGTATTCAATTTAAAAGTTAAAGAATAATAACAAAAACAGCCTATTCATATTTCCATGGATCATCAACAGTTTTGTTTCGTTTGCATCAATAATCACTTGAATGTCCAAATATAGTTACAAATAGATTTTCTTTTGGTAGTATTAAATGAGTTTTTTTTTTTTATTAATTCTTCCATCGCATAATTTTAAGGCACTGCTTTCAATTAGTACAACTGATTCAATTTTTTGTACAATAACCTCTTGATCCACAGCATTTAACAGCACCATGACCTCGCTTTGACCCGATCAATTTTCGTCGTGTCATCAAAACCTGTCAACCAATCAGATAGTAGTCATTGGCAGATAATTGTTAGAAGGATCTCTTGTTACTTGAATTTAATTTCCCTCAGCTTTTGACCTTCATGAGAACACCCGAGTTACCACAAACGAATCAGCGACAGAAATTTTACCTCTCAAATTCTTATGGGTTACGAATTTCTTTTAGCCAGATACAAACCCTAAATTAGTAAATGTAATTTGTTCATTTGTGCAGCAGTACAAACAACCAAGCTACCCGCTTTTTCTGGTTTCTCCTTCCCGTATTTTGGAGATCCCAATGGGCTTTACGCACCGGGGCTTTTACCATTTACATTCCTTCAACCTGCGCTGTCCAATCCGGGGAATATTCACATGGGAATGTTCCCACAACCACAGGGAACTTCTGAAGTCGTTTATGAGTTAGCCGCCCATGTGCTCTTCTCTGTGGTGGACTGGGCACGAAAGCTGCCAACATTTAATAACCTGGTAGAGAGCGATCAAATCACGCTGCTTAAAATGGCGTGGAGCGACCTGTACGTACTAGAGAGTGCCCGCAGTCCAATTCACCTGTATATGCAGCAGTTGTACGCCACAGCGAACATGCAGGCCAGGCAAGTGTCCATGGAGAATATCCTTAAGCGGATGGAGCATGCCCGCTTGTTTCAGGACCAGATGGAGAAAGTCCGCTCGCTTGGAATGGATCTGACAGAACATTTTCACATAAAGTGCATCGTCTTGTTCAGAACGGGTGAGGAAGTTTAAATTTTTCTTCAGTTGGTTGATATAGTTTCCTTGGACTACATTGCATTGCATTCCTAGGGTACACTGATGTAAAACGTTGACACAACTAAGCAACAAACGAAAGTTTCCTCATCTCACCATTGGAACTCTTCTTACGAGCCCTTTTTTTTACTGCTGTAGGCAGCAGCGAAGATTCTACTGGATAACGAAGTGTGGAACTATGATGAAAAAAGACCTCATGTATTAGTGTGGCAATTTAAGTAACCGTTTTAAGATTCTCTTCTCAAATCACTCATTATGACTCGTGAGCTTATTAAGCAATTTTTACCCAATGTCTCCTTAGACGGTTCACCAATTACACAGCCCCAGCAGATTGAGATCCTCCAAGATACCTCCCAGAGTTCTCTGGAGCAGTACATCAGAACCCAATACTCCAGTCAACCCACTCGCTTTGGCAAGCTATTGCTCATGTTGTCATCTCTGAGGAAAATTGAGCCCACAGTTATTGAACAGCTGTTTTTCGCCGATGTTTTGCGCGGAGCATCGATGGGAGACGTTCTCAAGAAGATGCTAACCAGCAACTCGACAGCACCGATTGTTCATGGTTCCTTGATGGCATGAGAGGCACCCTATAACCAGTCAGTGGACCTATTTAAAGAGAAAATTGAATATTGAGCTAGCGAAATAATCAGTCGCCATGAGATCAGCCTTCTCCCAGTTTGATCGCTAAGCTTTCTGTGATTCGGGTTATCGAGCAATCAAAACGACCACTGATGACAGGCCGTGATTGCTATCAAAGTGGGGTGGGGGCGGGGCCTCAAAAATAGAAGTTCGATGTTAACCCTCACGAAGTAGTGATCCAAAATGATTGGTCGAACAAGATGATGCAACTCAAAAAAATTGTTTACATAGTCAAAAGATGTCAAAGAGTCGTATAAAATCATCATAACTTAGTATGCTCTTTATATATTATCTGCAATGACCCCTTTAAAAGAAGTTTGTCTTGATTTGAAAGAAACTTATATCGGTTTATTAGATAAAAGATTTAATTCTCTCAAGCGAATGAAAACATTTTCATGATACATACCAGAATAATACAAAAAAGTGATGCATACGAAGTACACCGCATAATACAAGAAAAATGCAAATATTCAGGTGACATGAGAAATACAATAACAATAATGATAACGGTGATGATAATCATTCTGATGACATGCCGAAAACAGCGGCGTGAAGCTCCAGGAAAGTAGCAGTGATTCCACTCACAATCTTTAAACCCATGTCACTGATAGCACGCATTTAATCATTTGCCAACAGTTATCTGAAGTGACTAGCAACACATGTATGCTCAAAAATTTTCTACCGTCTGTCTGATCAAACCCCTGCGCCTCAAATGATCTATGTCTGAATAATCTATACGTAAACACAATAACATACAAAAAAAAGTATTTTATCATGACAATTCTGTAACAATTTATAGGAAAATATCGTGTACCAGGACACACACAAATTAAAAAAATATGTATCAGTGTCCATTTCTACAAACCTCAAAACGAGGTTATTTTCTTTATTTACCTTTCGCGCGCTATCCTTCGAAACCTCAGTTTCAGAAACTCCTTATGCAGGCCAATTTGCATCTATCGACTCAGGGGATAAAACCAATTTATCTTGTATCACCCCCACCGACACGGCACCGCACTTTGTTTGTTTAGAAAGTTACCTCTTTTCCTATTCTGAGCCAATAATAGTTATAGAGCCTGGATTCACTGCTGTAACTAAGCATCCAAATGTTTCGAGACGAAAGAGTTGCGCGCCTTTAAATAAATACAATGTAATTCATTTTCGTTTCACTGGTCTTTCACTGAAACTACCGCTGTCATTTTCCAATTATAATATCTTCATTCCTACAATCCTCATTCGACTCTCTTTGAGCGGGTGCTATCAACCTTTCTACCAGGCCTCAAGGAAAAAGTAAAAGCATCAGATTGACGAATCAATTTTCAATTTTGGTGCTTGATGGTCGGTTCTTCCTTGCAACATTATATTTTTGTGTTTTTATTTTCATGCTCGTGGATTTTGGACGCCACTGCAAAGAACTGATGAAATTGTCGTCATTGTTCAGTACCATTCGTCTGATACAAAAAGGATTGTAAAATACAATTGTCCAGATGTTCAGGTCTAACGTGGATTCTGAGTTAGATCCGTCCACGAACAGGAAATTGATTCCTTTAGGTTACTGTTTGATATTGATTCTTTTGTTGAATAATTACAAAGAAAACTAACAAAAGCAATTCGCGATGCTTTTGTTTACGTTAATGGCTTTTCTCTTATCTTAATCATGAACGTTAAAATACAGGCCTAAATTGAGTTTTCTGGAATTAATGTTGACAGTTAGTGTCTAAATCAATTTAATGATGACAGTTTTATCAATAGAAGCTCCACGTCAAAAAAAAGGTACTTAAAGACATAATTTTGTAATGATAATAATCTGCTTTGAAATCATACTCTGTTTTAATTTTTTTCGTGATCTAACACCTTATGGACCCTTATGGTCAAACAATTATCAGGAGAACGTGCGAAATCTTTTCATGAGTGTTTCTGCCCTCAAATTAATTTTGTTTGAGGTGCGAAACTTTTTTAATTATTCTTAGAAAAAAACTGAAAATAACAACAAGCCGTAAGCCAGGGCGATGATAAACTGAAAAACTGGAGACAAGACACAAGCAGAGGTAAGGTGCAGATGACTCAACGTTTTACTACATTGTGCGTGGCTCAGTGAGAGATTTCTGCTCGTAACAGAAGGTTGTGGTCGGTACGTAACCGATTAGTCATTACATCCTTTTTTTCCTCTCTTTATTAAGACGACAACATGTCCTATACCTAAATATAACGTTGAAAAGGACTACATTTCGAGGTAAAGTTTGTTTAATTTCGAGACAATTTATAAAGTCGAGCAAATTTTTACTTCTACCCTTTTGCATTCAGTTAAAGAACATTCTCGCTCAGTAAAAATCATTGAAAATACGTGTTCTTAGGCATATCAGCTCAAAGAAAAAGAAATCGAATGGAGAAGTTATGGAGTTGTAAGTGCTTTTTTTACCGGCCAGAAAAATCTCATCATATTGAACTTTCAATCGTCATGAATGCATCAGTTTTGTTAATTTCTTCTCTGTTTGCTGTCTACCTCGGTTCCGTTACGTCGATCGTGCCAAGAACTGTATTCATTGCTGTTCTTTCAACTACGCACGAAGCAGAATCCCTTTCTTTTCAGTGTAATCAAATGAGGAAATATTACACCTTTGCTTTGAGCTGAGCCGAAAAGTTGGCGGGGATGCATCTTCACTAAATTCACAGTCGTTTAAGCCTTTTTCAAAAACGTAAATTGAAGCTTATGTCTAGAACAGCTCGCATACGGCCGGGACACTCAACGAAAAGGTTTCGGGTGTTATCTCTAAATATCTTCTGGAAATCATTTAGTTCATCTTTTCGCCCTGAGATTTACTAAATGTGTCGTAACTGAGTCAATAATCGCGCTGACCCTACTCCCTTCGTAGTTTGATTAACTTTGGGTCCATGCAAGCTTTATTGTCACATTATTGTCGCTTGTCACATTATAAAAGTACTTTGCTTAAAACCGGAAAGTTTGATAAGAATGGTCACTAAAAAATATAAATTAAGGTGGACCTTGATGCATTCAGTCAGAAGTTCGGGCGAATAAGCAAATAAACTTTTTGCTCAGAAGGACCCAAGCCATTAGCAAAAATAAATGAGAGCCGGAGAAACAATGCTTCCTTGCTTGAGCCAGCACAACTGACTTATGGACCCAAATAATCCCTTTTTATAAGACATAAAGTTGTTTGCATTACAGTTAACATGTTCTCATAACATCTTTAAAGCTTTTTTCTACCAAAATATATATGTAATTGTGGTTACACGTCTTCGCTCTTACATGAACTTCAAACTCTCAACACTGTAGACAACGTCGAGAATGTTGGCAATTTATAACGTCAGTGATTCGTGTTGATTTTCACTTTCATTACCATCTTAAAACCATTTACTCCATGAATTCATGAACTGTAAATTTATGGTAAGGGGTGCTATGCGTAAAAATTCGTCTACTCATTTCTTTTCATCTCACGCGCTCACCTTAATTTCTTTGCAGGATCCAAAATCCATGTCCAAAACGTGTTAACCTATAGAGATAAGATGCTCTATTTACCCAATTCCTGCCAGAGATAGTTATCCATGGATTGCCATTTGGAGAACATGATATCGTCACTTTTTTTACTTAGCTGTATCTTATTGTCTTTATCCCATTCAATTTCGGAACAGTTGCAACACATTACTAGCACAAGCATACCAGGTTTCGAAACTAGCAACGTAACCCTTGGTGGCTTGTTTTTCCTTCATTACAAAGGCACTGACAATGAGGACTGCGGTGATTTTAATGCCCCTGGATTAGGTCACGCTCAGGCAATGATATTCGCCATAGAAAAGATAAACAACGACTCGAGTTTGCTTCCAAACATAACACTGGGCTATGACATACATGACTACTGTGAGAGTGCTGCGCTTGCAATGAAATCCACTTATCAGTTTGTCAAAGGTAGCGACTCACACTACGCATGCTCACAGGAAGCTATCAGGGCACTTGCAAGGAATAAAACAGCGACGCATTCTTCGAGTCCAATTGTTTCTCTGATTGGGCCAGCTGACTCCGGCAGCTCCGTCCTAGTTGGAAGCTTGCTTAAAGTCGCCGGTATACCAGCTGTCAGTTATGCTGCTACGAGTGAAGAACTAAGCTCGCCGTTCTACAAAAACTTTTATAGAACAGTGCCATCGGACAAGCAGCAGGCAAGTGCAATGGCGGATCTGTTTGAATACTTTGATTGGAGTTACATTGCCACAGTAGCTGTTGATGATTCGTATGGCAGATATGGAGTGTGGGCACTTGAAAAGGAGTCCTTCATAAGGAAGTCATTTTGCTTAGCTCTCTCTGAATACATTCCTCGTTTAAACTACATGAACAAAATTAAAGTCATAGTCAGCAAACTAAAGAGGCGCTCAAATGTCAGAGTGGTTGTTCTTTGGTTGTTTGGCGGCTATGGACGAACTTTCATTCACGAAGTGGAGAACCAGAATTTACTCGATCGCACCTGGATTTTAAGTGACGCCCTCGCATCAGAACAACCAAACCACATTCAATCACTATTCAGTGTCCTGGATGGGGCCTTGGGCATTCAGCCATTTTATCATCACAATGAAGAATTCAAATCTTATTTGGCAACAATTACTCCGAAGGACATGATTACGAAACGTACGTCTCAATGGTGGGAAAAAGTTTGGACGAAAGAGTTCAATTGCTCCATAAAAAAATCGCTTGAACTCCGTGCGTGTGGAGAGAATGCGACTCTGACTCAAAATGTAGTTCAAAAGCTCTACGACACTTTTCTTCCTTATGTAATCGAGGCAGTTTATGCGGTTGCGCATGCTCTCCACATGATGTATTTATGCAGGGAACCTCATGGTCTACTCCCAGAGGGGAGATGTCCTCAAATTCATCCATCAGTGAGGCCGCTGGATGTTGATCAGTACCTGAGGAACGTTTCTTTTAATGGCATTATGGGAAAATTTCTATTTGATGAGTCAGGGGACCCCGTGACCTCATCCTATGGAGTTATTAACTTTCATAGACACGAAGAGGGAGGGGTTACACAAAATGTCAAACAAATCATCGGATCTTGGAATAGGAGTTCCAGAGTAAGACTTCAGCTTGAAGTCGATAAGATCAAATGGAGTAGGAAGTCTTCAAATGCGAGTGTTCCACCCACATCAGCTTGTTCCGTGATATGTCCTCCAGGCACTGTGCAGTCTGTTACAACTGCATGCTGCTGGGAATGTGCAAGATGCCCTCTGGGCTCTGTTAATCCAGACTCTGGGTCTAGAAATTGCACAGAATGTCCTGCGGGTCAGAGGTCAAATGAAAATCGTACAGAGTGCGAAGATCTACCGATAGTTAACATCCAACTGACAGACACTACAGGTTACCTAGTCACTGGTTTTATAGTTTTCGGTGTGCTAATTACGATATTTTCGTCCCTTGTTCTATTGAGACATCGAGAGACACCGCTCGTGAAAGCTTCAAGCCGTGAACTAAGCGCAATCTTATTGTTGTCCATCACCATGTTCTTCGCTCAAACGTTCCTAAGTATCATGCAACCTACTGCTCTAACTTGCCGTTTAGCTTACTGCTTGAACTACAGTGCGCTCGGTACGTGTGTTGCGACACTCATGATTAAAACTCTTCGTATTCTAAGTGCTTTCCGTGATGATTTCATCGGCAAACGAATGAAGCAGTACATTCTGACGATAAAAGTTCAAGCCACCTTGGTTTTTTTGTTGAACTCGGTTGTATTTTTTCTGTTGACTTTTTGGCTTTTTCTGGACGCTCCCTTTATGACACGAGTTATACAACGAGGCGAGTACATTTTTCTGACTTGTCGCCCACACAGTTCTTCTTTGGGCTTCAGCTTGCATATCGCAATCAACGGCTACCTCGTTTTGATATCTGCTATCTGCACCATTCATGCTTTCAAAGTGAGAAAGTTACCTGAAAACTTCAACGAAGCGAGGTACATCGGTTTTGCAATGTACATTCTCCTTCTTTCCACCATAGCTTACTTCCCAGTGGACTTTGCAGGCCTAGAAAGCCAAAGTGTAACCATCGTGACTTGTGTAACTACACTTGTGAGCTCGTATGGCTTGTTGGGATGTATGTTTGCTCCTAAGTTGTATGTGATTCTGGTTCATCCGGAACAAAACACGACGGCAGCTGTCAGATGCCAGGTGTCAGACTACACTTTTAGGCAATCATTACCATCCCAATCACGCAATGGAGAGGGAATTACTTAGTGGAGCTAGGAGCCCTGGTGCCAAACTAAAAAGAGGCATATTTACCTTTTCTGACAAAATAGAAATGAACACAGATAAAGTAATGATAAAAGGGTGTATTCTAGTCTGGATGGATTAGCTACAGAAGCTTGTGATTTCGTCCTAAGTTCGCCCACCCTTACAGTATTCTTGTGTCTGAACGGGAATGGACTGGGACGAGCAGGAAGTAAGAGGTCTCATTAATCATCAGTCAAATCTTATTCTGTTGCATGTATTCTTAATGAGGAAATGAAGTCTTAAAATTGTCATTTTATCGGCACTCATTTCTAGTTAGCTTTAGAGGAGTAAGATAAATTATCGGTAGTCATTTTCGTTCACTTCTTGTTATTTACGAGGAAATTATTTTTCGCGCTTTAGCGGCCGTAAAACCGTCGGCTCAAAAGGATTATCAGCGGTTGAATGTGACGTCTGTGGTGTGGAAATAAAACACTCATCTCAATTGCAAATGCTGCTTAGCAGCGCATATTATGTGCAAATTTTACATTTGTAGGTCTCTATTTCACAAATATGGGTGGCTTATAACCCTTCCAGTTATTCTCCAAGCGAAGAAGGCATCGAGGAAACAGAAGCTGCGATTGATTATTTTACGAGAGTCGGAAACACTGAATGAATGGTGTCTTTGGAGAGGACATTGCGAAGCTATCTTACGGCTGACGAATGTTTTTGTTGTCCAGAGTTGAAGGACATTCAATCTAGATCTTAAGCACCCAGAGCTTTTTCCCACACATTTCTACAAAATCAGCCCAGTTATAAACTCACCTTCAAATTCGTAAGACTCAACCATTTTTAAACTTAAGGAACAAAAAATTACGGCGAAACACACTTCGACAACAAATTATAAGTGAGTTATCATACCCTTCACGTCACATTGCTCTTGGTCCAAAGAGTATAGAAAGTTGCACCATTACGAAAGGTTTTCCCAACAAAATTTATTTTAGCCATGCAAAGACCAAATAAATAAATAAAATAAAATAAAGAACAAACAAAAAAAGAGAAAATCAGGTAACCAAACAAATTCCTATTTTAGATTAATTTCTAATGCACAAGTTCAAAGCGGCCTGATTGTTCGCAAAGCGAAGAAACATCTGAAGACTCACTTCATAACAATGACTAAAATGAACATTAGTTGCATTTCTTGAATTATCCTTCCTCTTGAATCTGTGGCGTAAATATTGGTTTATTCACCTCCTGTTTGGACGAGTACAAACGGCTTGAACGGCCTTGTCGAATAAAATAAATAATTTATTTGGTTTTCATTGTTGATAAAATCAACACATGATTGGTCAAAAATGACATCACAAACTAAACTTACGCGGCCTGTGATTGGTTCATGTTGACGTAAGTGAAGAATTATAGCACAACTATTGCACCACCATCTGAATAAAGAGTGCAACAACTTCACAAATTTTATCTTCAATTTTGTTTTTCCTCGTGAGGTACGTCGAGGAAATTTTACGTCTTCGTTGGGTTTGGTCTGCGTTAGATCGACAGCGTTGGCGCCGCTTTTAGACGAGTCGGCGCTCGAAAACATTCTCTACAAAGTTCAGGCTTAAGCCACACAACGGCAGTTTCGACTGTTAACGAATCTCTATTTCAGACGTCACAATGCTTAGTAAGTTCGCTGTCGCAGAAATCTTCAACATGGTACATTCCGAAGGATCCTTACCTCGAAAAAATCGACCGCATGGAAAGCGGCTCGATCGAAGTAGAGGAAAAAAATCGATACATCGGCAAGAAGGAAACGAAAATGGAAACACACGAAAACAATGGAAACAAACCCTGGACTCTGAATTCATGCGGCCTGTTTGATGATCTACAAAATGGTAAGGTTTGAATAGTTTTATCTTGAAAGGCAGTGATTTCTTCTGAAAAGTATCGAACAAAGACAAAGTATTGAAGTTAAGCTGTAAATTTCTTTGTTGCCGGCATACCTCTGTCCATCAGTCAAGTCGTAACTCCTCTTGAAAGCAAAACTTAATCGCAGCTGTAAAGTTAATTTACCATCTCATTCGTGTCAAACAATTCTTAACGTTTTCTGTTTTCGTTTCTAGATAAATTGGAAACATTGGAGGACACTGGAAGCTTACATCAGGTTGATGCTGAAGATAACGAGTTCATCGCCCTCGAGCTCCTTGATGAGTTGAACGCCAAACCATCAGAAACAGCAAAACATCCAATGGAAAGTTTATTGGACTTTTGTGAGTCACCAGGCGGTATGGACAATCCTTTCTTCGAGCAATACCTTGATATCGACGACCTGTTTCCAGATCTCCCACATCTTGACACAATGGATCTAGGGTTCGGAGTGGAGCATACATTGCCAGTCTCCACTTCAGACATCTGCCAGTCAGATGTAGTGAGGATGGAGACTGCTGGAACTACTGAGTACTCAGATGTGGCTTCCCCTGGTAGTGATGCAATTGATGCTGTCTCACTAGGTAGTGATTCTGAGGTCTTCTCATCTGCTGGAGACTTGACTGACATGGCACTCTCCCCTGAGAGTGTAGTAGATGTTGTGTCTCTGGAAGAGGATTGCAAAAGTCTTCTATTGTGTACTCATCAACTTACCTCTGATTCTAACGGAGAAAAAATGGCTGATACAGCCGCAGAAGAAATCACAGTCATCCAAACATCAGATGCACTGACTCTTCTCACTCAAGAGCTGTTACAGTCTTCTGTTAGCATTGTGCCTGTAGCTTCTCCAACGTCGGTTGAGAATGTGGCCAGTAGCTCTGAAAATATTTCAACTGTGACTGTGGACATTGCTGACATTTTTTCTCTTTCTGATGATCTTGGACATGCACACAATGTTAGTTTGCCAAGTGAAGGTGGTGTTTGTACAGTTAGTCAAGAAAGCAGTGCTCATGTTCAATCTAATCGGAAAAGAAAGAGAGTTAATTCTGCTGATGTTTGTAAATCACCATCTAAGAAAGTAAAATATGAGAATTTAGACAAGGAGAGCGATTATGATGAATTTATGAGCATTTCCAGTACTCTTGACAAACAAACAGTGAGACGATTAAAGAATAACATTGCTTCAAAACATGCTCGTGCTGCCAGAAGGCAGAAAGAACAAGATCTGTTCCAACAAGAGGAGGAACTTGAGAAAAGTAATGCAGAACTGCGCAAGCAGGTGCAAGAATTAGAACAGCTTACAACTACATTAAGGAAAGTTCTTGTTGCGAAATTGAGTGGGGTTAATTGTCCAGCATAAAGAAAACATACTAGTTCTTCAAGGTCCTACCAGTTAAAAAAGAAAAAAATGAAAAAAGTATTAGAAATACAAGCTAAAAAAAAAGTTAAGTATAATTAATCATATCCATTGGCATATGTAGTCAAGAGGATCAGGCAGCTGTGTATGACAAGGGACAGACTTCGTCTTTTGTACCTATATGTATCTTTAATCTTGTTAGTTAATCAAGAATTCCTGTTTGTATTTTATCAAGGCCTCAAGAAAAGTGAATAAACCATTTAACACATTGTATTTCTTTTGAGTTCATATCTCAATCTGCTATCAAAAAAGTATTGTCCATAAACCTTAGACACACTAAGACTAGAGACAAATCATAACCACTAATCCCAATGAAAGAACCATGACAGTGTTCATTTCAGTTTTCAAAGGAAACTATAGGCATCTACAGTACTGTAACACTATCACTAGTGAGGGAAAAGAGAAATTAGTGCAAGTACAAACAATCCCATGTACAAATCCCAACTCAGAACAGCAAAACTGATATAAATTTCCAACACTTTATTCATAGGTACTATTTAACTTGCACCTCATAGCAAAGTGAGTAACTAACGCTGCAAGATACATTTGCTGACTCCTTTACAGCAACAATGCACCAGAATACTCTTTAATTTCTTTGTTTTGGTTCCTTCCTGTGGAAAACATGAAAGCTAAACTAACATTAAGAATGACAAAAAAAATGTGTATTTATATGCAAATAAAGGAAAGGAGAGTTTCTGCGTAACCACTTGCACTTTCTGGCAGGTTCATTACCCAATACAATTTTGTAACCTTTAACCATCTCTGATTTTGGCATCAATTATTCTTTCATAATAACAAAAACAAATAATTTCAAGCTACATCTATGATAAATTGCAACAATGTGAATATCAATTCTCTGAAAAGTCAACAGCAGAATGGTGTATCTTCATTGGCCCTACATCAAACCCAACACAAAGATATCTAGGTTTGACTTTGTAGTGCTTTTTTCCTTTGAATAAATTTCCCAATATTCCAATCAGTATGTGGCACCATATAGTGACCATTGAAAACACAGAGGATAGTCATCTTTTCTTTATATGTCAAGTCTGGAAGTAGCTGAAAAAGAAAGAGAGTTTACAATTAGATGAAAAATTAAACTTTCCAGAGAAGTAATGACTACAAAATTATACTGTCTACTGGATCACTTTGCTGGTACCAGTTGTGGATATGTGTATGAGTAAGTTTTGTTAAAATGTACCCTGTGGATGTACATGTATGTAGAGAGTAGCAAACAAATACAGTGTACATATATAAGAAGTAGGTTTTTATCCTGCATGTCAATTTTCTCATAAGGTGTTTTTTTCCATACCTTGGGAGTTATTAAGAAATACTGAGAGGTATAAGGTCGACAAGCTGTCTCAACCACAAGTTCAAAAACTCTCCTCTCATTGTTAGGATCCATGCCCTAAAAAATAAGATCATCTTTTATAACCATCTGAAGGCATGCAACATTAAAAGGACCTAAAAATAACATGCAGTGCTCATTAATGCTGATTTATTTGATTCAAATCAGTTATGTAGTGCATCCTTGGCACAAAGTTTGGAAAATTGCTAATGGTCACTTGAAAACATGAGTGTGATTTAAAAATAAAATAATTGTTCAGGTTGCTGACCAGCTGATACAGACCTCTCTGTACACAAGGATCAACTGTGTTTTCGCACTAATTATTTTGATGGACACCATTTATATCTGATACCTGGTTTATTTCATCCACCACCCTGAAGGGACATTTAGTAAGTTCTTGTAGGGCCATTAAATATAACATGGTTGATACACTTCTCTCTCCACCACTCTGATGGAATGGAGTCAGAACATGGAGACTGTCCTTTGCACGGAATTTCACCTTAATCTGGATACCATATTTATCAAAGTTGTTTTCACCCTGTCACATAAACAAAAGAGATGAGAAGCATTAATAATCATTACATAAACTGTGGTGTTATACAAGGATTTCCGGCCCTGAGAAAAGCCGTAACAACACATGTGAAAAAATATCGTATTTTTTCATGTGTGTCAATATAGCCAATCAGCTGCTTACACACCACTCTGTCAGGTTGATGAATGAAAAGCAAAGCCTTCACGATTCTCAGTACAAGTTGTCTGTTGGAGCTTTCTCAAATTATGGCAGCTCAACACTAACACTAAAACACAAAGACTAAAAAACCCATGTCACTGACAGACAATGAGGTTCAAACTTTCCTAGAAGGAGAAGAAAATCAATATTCTAAAAGAAAAACTGAAAGTTGCATATTCAGTGGCTATGGTGTTAGCATTTCTCTTGGCTGAGAATGAAAATTGACAACTGGAAGATTTGCCACTGGCTGATTTAGGCTGTTTACCTGAAAGACTTCTTCTGTTGGTAAGGACAAAGTCAATAAATGAGAATTTTGTAAATTGAAAATTACAACCATTGTTGTTTTTGTAATCATGATCTGACACATTTTTTCATCTTATTATTCAAGGATTGTCGATTCATTTATTTTCATTCATTAATGAAGTCAGCTTTTCTTCCCAGTAAAGGGCTATTGTGTTTATATGATAAACAAAATAAGACATGTTTGCTTGTAGATATGGAATTTCTCTTCTCGTGTTCAACTCGAAGAGAAATTCCATATTTATGCACACCATGTATTATTCTCTATTTAACCAGTCCTGCACACCCTTAAAAAAGAACAGCAAAGCACACAAACCTGTTCTGTTGAAAGAGCAACTTCTCCTGCACAGCCCATCATTCTAAAAAACTCCCCAAACTTTTCATTAATTTGTGAAACTAGTTCTTGCAAAGGTGTCAGCCAACTTAAAAGATAAAGAATGTTAGCAGTACATAACTACATAACTATATCTGTAGTTTGTAAACTTCACTTTATTTGAGTGCCATACTTTAATGGCTGTCAAAAATGTAGTTAATGATAATAAAATCAAACTTAAGTAAAACTTATCAAATTATTATACCAGCCACAATGTTGCTTCTTTTCAACATTCATTACCTTCATTAAATACCAGCCTTTGTTTAGAGCACTTTTTACCTTTCTTTAAGACTTGTTATTTCTCTTTGCTCAGTCTCTAGGTCTGTTTCTTGTGCCTGAACCTAAAGTAGTACATACAATGCTAACCATATATTTTGAATGAATGCCCTGACAAATTATTAGAGGTGGGAGTCACAGGATGTACCACATGTATGTGTAAGAGTTTGTGTGCATTTTTTTTTTTCATTTAACTCAAACATAATAATTATTACCTTCCCACTGAGCACATTTATTTCCTTTTTACGCCTTTCATAATCTTTAATCACCTGAAAAAAATACATAAAATAAAAATGTTCAGTGCATCCAAACTATCTTCTTTGCATGGCAGTAAGTTGATGCTAAGAGCAGATAAATGTGTGACTGGCTGACTCTGAGGTCTATTTCCACCAACATTAGGGGTATTTGACTGATTGCCAGTTATGTAACAGTATTTACACTCTACCTGTGGGTTGCTCTGGTATTGGCATTCAATTCTAGCTTTCTCATCATGGATCATCTCATCTATTTCTTCTAGTGTATCAGGATACAGCTTAAATGCCTTAAAAATTAAAATAAAATATTAATTTGAGGAATTTAAAGATGGAAACCTAACTAGGAAAAGAAATTGCTTCCATCAGATAAATTTGATATTAACTTCATTTACCTCTTTAAGTTTATCAGGTATATCTGCTCCATCAGGAATTCCAGTTTTCTCATGAGCAACCTTTTTCAGGTCTTTAGCCAATTTCTTTTGCACATCTAAGGTGTTGTTTATTCTGAGATATTCTCCCTTAAGAATCACAGGTAAAACATACAAAGTTAGAAGCATCGACTCTAGTTTACAGTGAAAGGATAATGACTACAGAGGACAACTAATCTGTTTTGACACATTTTCATAACATTACAGCATTATGACCAAAATCATGTCTTATCCTCTTTATATATGATGAACCACATATGGTCCAAACAAACCTCAAGCATGTTCAGCTGTTGTGATGATTCCCTGAACATCTCTTCCACTTTGGATTTCTCAACAGTGGTTTGCACCTGTTGAAGACTCTGTACCAGTTTCTCTTTGGAAACTGTGGTGCATTCCTAGCAAGTGAAGCAAAACTATGTTTAACAGTTGCCAATTTTTTCACCCAGCATTGAGACTGTTCTTTGAAAAGTTACTTACCAGTAAAATAGTACATATAACCATTTCACCTACATGTACATTAACATTATTCACAGCTCATTTGTGTAAAAATTGAATGCTTTTTGTTTCATTAGGCAGTAGTCACTAACTGTCATCTATACATACTACACAAAGTTTTAAGCTCCTGTTTCCCTGCTATCAATAATAAGAGTGTGCATGATGCTTACATGGACAAAATCTTTATATTCCATAGCAAGTTGTGCTCTCTGGTGATTAATCCTCACAATCTGTTGCTGAATTGTTTCTGCCTTTCCTTCTAAGTCTGGTGTTGCTTTCTGCATTGTTTCCAGGTTCTTTTGCTTGGCTCCCAGCTGGTTCTCTAAATTTCTTCTCCTTTGTGTTTGTGAAGTTAATTCTTTCTGTTATGGTCGAAAAGAAAAAATGGTTCCATGGCAAAAAAGGTGTTCATAAAAATGAAATGTTACCTTTAGCAACAATCATTTAACAAGAACTAATATACAACAGATACCCTGCGAGTACAATGACCCTGCTGGAGATTATGATTAAGACAAACTGTTCAAAACTGTAAATTCACAATAAACTTTTCTGTGCAGAGTTACTCTAGCCCCTAAAACATGACTTGTGTTCTTTTACTTGTGTGCATACCCTGAGTGTTTATCTGTGACAAATTTTGGTACTTTATGTTTTCACTTTAGTCTTACATTGTATAAATATGTTGTGAAAATGACGTATTTTGAAGTTAGATAAACAGTTATTCCACAGATACCACATAGAGAACTTGTCTTTTAAGTGACCACAAACCTTCTTATTTCTCAGACTTTCCAGTTCCTTATGTAAGCTGTTCTCTCTCTCACTTAAGCTTTCATACTCTTCATTTTTTTGCTGCACTTGGTGGCTGACATCCTGGAATTGACCATTAACTTATGTTATATAGAACTGCGTAAAATAAAAGTCAATGAGGAGAGTGCTCAAATAATAGTCAAAGAGTGCACAATGTACCTGTTGTTCCAATTCAAGTTGTCTTTTCTTCTCTGCATCAACAGCAATGTTAAACAACCTGGCATCTCTGGAAAATCAAAATGGCACAATGGTGATTCTAGCTTTACAAATACCAGTAGAACACATACCTAATTGGTGTATATTGGGAGCATTTCATCAACTGATCAATGCAAACTGTACACATGTACTGTACCCATGTGCTATACCCCTATCATCTGGTATCCAAATTACTGAATAACTTTCAAGATAATTTGGTTTTAATCAACTGAGTCGATAATATAAACTGACTACTGTTAAGGGTTTGTAAAGCTGAGGTTTTGGGTCAGAGTTTCTAAAGTTGCAGTTTGGGTATCTTTGTCAGAGCAAAAGGCTAATGCTGGAAATGCCAGCTTTAGAACCTCTTTATGGTGGCCAGTTTACATTTAAAAACTTAGTTGATAAAACCAATTATTTTGTAATTCCCCCAATGATGCAGCACTGCAGCTCCTTTAGAAACTAACAGGTACCTCCTTTATTGATTTGTTGAATAACTGTCAGTTTGGCAAGACAAAATTCCCTACCTTACATGATCAACTACAGTTGATCTCTCCCGATTGCCATATAAGGACCGCTTCACAGTGTACTAAGGGAGAAAAACACACAGTTATGCCAATCTAGAAAGCCATACACATTACTCATATAATTATGTACAGTCCAGATAACTGTAACACTTCTTGGTAATAGGAGCAAGGTAATTAAGGGCATCCATAATTAAGTGATTTCATAATTTTGTAAAACTATCAACCACCTTCTTTTGGTAATAAACTCTAGATGAATGTCTTGTCAATTGTGGGCTTACCCTTGAAGTTAAGGTGTAAAAACTTGTAACACCTGATTCGCTGATCACCTGAAATAAAATATGAGTAAAATGTTTAGAATGTGATTTCATTTATCAGTACATTGTTTTTAAACTACCCCAACATTAAAAGGTCCATTTAAGAGAAAAAAAAAGTCCCCAATTGAACATTATTACAGCACAACCATACTACTAGGTTTAGATATACACCATTATAATACATCATGTATCAAAATTTCATTGTGGGAATCAACCCACCTTATCTGCATTCTTGGTTGTCCAATCATTCCCTAGAGGAATTTCATGAAGACGATATTGATGACACAGATATCGCATCACTTCATCAGGAGCAGTAAACAAGTCTTTCAGATAACAGTGAAAACCCCACTTCCTACCGTAACATGAACATAAAAAAGGTTTCAAAATAGCCACAGGAGGTACATAATAACGGAATTCTCACTGATTCAATTGAGAGTCTCATTTTGAAAGTAACAAAAAAATCTAAACAGTATCCCACTTTCTTTCTGCAATTTATATGAATCAGTTCACTTGAACAAAGCATAGAATAAAGTTTTAGATTTTAAGAGATTTCCACAATCATGTGCAGTATGCAAAGTTTCAGTTGAGAACTAAAAGTCAGCAATCACGTGACAAAGGTATGGTGAGTTTGTATATTGACCCTTTAACTACCATGAGTGACCAAGACAGAATTTCTCCTTACAATATCAATACAACATCAAGCAGACTAGTGATGAGAATAAAGAAAAATCTTAATTAGGGGATTATTATTTGATCCAACACTAAATTCTCCAAACTAACATTACAAGAACTATATAGCAGACAGTAAGGAGAATTACTAATGAGATCTTGGGAGTTAAAGGGGTTAAGGGCTGATTAAAAAAAAAAGTCGTGTTGAGCACATGGCTGTTGTGCTTGTGCTGTTTGTTGTTGCACTCCTCCTGTTCTGGCAAATGGTTCACTTCAAAAATACTGCCACATTGGTTTCATCAACACTCAATACTGTGGGCTGATCATATAGGAGGGGTCCAAACCCAAAAAAAATTTGGAGGGAGAGGTGGGAGTGAAGGGAGAAAGTAGGAGGGGGGTGGCCTAATGTTCAGAGGGATGAGGCAAAATAATGTATCTTTTTTCCACAAACCCTAAATCCTTTAAAGATCGTGATGACATGAAGCTTTCCAAAGCCTCTTCTGGTGGTGCAACCCCATTGACCCTAAGCCCTTGTTTGTCACGCACCTGCAAAATATATTAAGCTTTAAGAGAGTACTTATATAATTATGGAAAATATATTTAATTTAGTATTATGCTGAGTCATAAATCCAAAAAGAATCTTCAATTTCTAAGTGTGACCTGAACACTATCATTCTTACTTTCAAGTGGTGACCTATACTGGAAAAACTCTCCAAATTACACATAGTGAGAGATTTACTATTTCAAAATTAAATTTCATTCTATACTGTCTATACTGTACCTCATCTAGGAATAGTCTTAAGTCATCTCTGTTGCTGCATACAAAAGCTCGGAGATCATTCTGGTTGATAACACTTTCAATAAATTTAGCATTCTTCACATCTTTCATTTCAACCTAACAAAAGATCACCATTAGACTCATAAATTATGTGTAATTACTTAGTTTACAGATAGGTACTCTGTGTTCATACTCTGGATATGACAACCTGCAATGTAAAATCAAAATACATTTTTATGAATGATAAGACCAGGGTGAGATAATCAAAATGCAACATATTCTATCTACCAGTATGATTATAACACAATGTTTTCCTGCAAAATGTTCTCCATGTGTAGACTTTTCTCATGTGAGATACTGGATACCATCCAACATCAGTAAAATACCAAGCATCTGCTAGTTGCTCATTACCTCTTATTCCATAACATCCCTTTCAGCCCCCTTTCAACCTGATAACTCATCTTTGTCATTTACTCACCTTTTCCCACCTGCAGGCTGCATCAGGGGAAAAATGGCCTCAGTCTTACCTCACACTTGATGCAAATTTGCTTGTTTCAGCAAACAATAAAAATGATAATGATTTTGTATAAACATGTTTCCTTTTCTTTAAGTACAATGTGGGTCAATGGTGTAAAATCCGTTTGGAGAGACAGGAGAACTAAGTTATCTCTGAAGTGAATACAAGGCCTGGATGACATGAAGTTCCTTGTAGAACAATGTACTTAGTAAATTATGCAAAGGACCTTCTTGATCAAGCTATGGGAGCACAACTTGCCTGAAGAAGAATTGGTTCATGGATAGGAGCATGAAACTTGTGTTGATTTGCCCGCAACCAAAGTACAGCATTATAAGTATCTTTATATCTATTCCGCAAATGCTCCAATCGACGATTCTTCATGTCTTCAAGTTCAGAAATTCTGCTCCTTATGTCTGTGTTGAAAAAACAGTGTAAGATTGAAACACATTCATTAAACTTTACTGGCAATCAGAAAATGAAATCTGCATAATTGTTACAAGATAACTTGCATAGGCGCATCATTATCCTGCATAGAAAGTACAAGGTATGTATAATAGTAAAAGCTTCTGTTGTAAAATCACCTTGAACCTGAGCCTTCAAGCTATCTGCCTCATCTCTGATGCTACGAGCTTGCCCTTGCATGGTCACCACTTCACGGTTCTTTTGTCGAGCTTCAACATTGATTTCATCAATACGAGGCTTGCATGGAAAGGAAAATCATGTAAAAAGTTTAAAATACTGAGTCTGAAATATTGTAAATATCAGATGCTTCTCAATCTTTTAGACATAGACAACATGTCTGCAATGCTGTAGAGTCAAAATAAATTTGTCTAGAGCTTGTTAGCACATGATTAGTTTGCCAGCCTTGTTTTGTTCTCTTTCATTTGTTCCTTTCTAGCATAAATTAGGTTTGTGAAAAGATCACCAGATCACGAGATCCTTTCTGTCTCATTATGCCACCTTAACAGTTACTGTAAAAATGTATTTCACTTATTTTGCTGTAACTAGATAGTTATCTCAGGAGTCAGAGGAATTTGGTGTACCAAAATATAATGTAATATTTCTGCATGTGACTAAACAACAATTTGGATGTAAGCTACTCCTCATATAAAGTAGGAGAGGCCAGGCGGAGACAAAATAAAGTTAAATTTAAATTAAAGTTAAATTAAAAAAACCAACAAACATTGAAATTTTCCAGGAGGGGGTACCTGCAAATGATATGGGTCTGGTAGGTTGTCTAGTTCATTCCTCAGTCCATCTATCACCCTCTCCAAGTCATTCATTCTATACAAAAGTTTGGTACATGAAGTTATGACTGTTAAAAGATTTTCTTTAATTGCTAAACCTGTAGAGTTTTTCATCTCCTGTTTGAGTTAGATTTGCATACACACAGTCTTCATGCACCCTACATATAACTGAACACTCACAAGTAATCAACAAATGATAATTATTACAAACAGTACATATCTGAAGTGCTATTACCGTTTTTGTCTCTTCTTCTCTTCTTCCTTCAGATCTTTTAATTCTGTGCGTAGTTCTTCTATCTACAGTGTACAATGCAACAGACATTTATGTTTGAACACTGTTGTCAATGGTGTTGTCAATGATGTTTACTGACTAAAGGCCAAGAGTTTGTCAAAATTCCTTGTTGAGAAGCCTCACAGTTCTTGATATTTAACTCAAGTAAAATAGAAACATGTCCATAAACTGTGACGGTTATAAGGTTGAAGCTGTTACCTTATCTCCTTTCTTTTCAATCTGCTCACTCTTTGACTTGGCTCTTTTCAACACTTCACTGCCTTTCTCCATCTGTGTAAAGTTGACAAAAAGTCCACATCAGAAGGATATAATTTATGAATTTATTTTGTAAATGCCCAAAGATACACTGCACATGCAAATGCACATCTTGTAGTCTGTTAATTTAACCTAAACATCCAGTTTATGACAGAGCCTTGGATATCAAAGCTAAGCTGAGTGTTTCAGGAGTGTTACCCACATGTAAACTTTACAACAATTTTCTGGTGAGGCCACTGAAAGGCAGGTGAAGGCTTCTATCAAGGTCTGGAGGCATGCCATTTATAAAATCTATTCCATTCATGCATAAAAATGGAGCTCCCCCAGTCCTCAGTTCAGCTGTTCCAGATAAGTCTTCAAGATGCTTCCCTTCTCAGGCAAACACTTGAGAAATACATTTTTACAACTGGACATTGTAGTGAGTTAACGGTAACCCTTTACAATGAAGGTGAAAACTATACATTTTAAATGTTCACTTACTAACTCTCTGGTGGAGTTTTCAAGGTGTCTCACTTTTCTTGTTATTTCATCAAGGCGTTTCTGCATTGGTTCATTTTGTTTTCTGACTTCATCAAGCCTCCTTTTCACCCCCTCTTTTTCACCTTTAATTTCTACAAACTTTTTTCGGGCATGCTCATATTCCTGAAATAGATTAGTAAATCATAAATTAAACAGTGAAAGAAAGACTCCCTACCTCTTTCTCTCTCTCTCTTATGAACAGGAATGACAGTTTAAAAGTTTGTATAAAAATGTCATTCTCTACATAAAATTTCTGACTTACAGCCCAAGGTCTTTTCTTTTCCAATATTTGCACTTTTTGTAAATGTCGCTCTCTCTCTTGATGCCTTTTAACCTCATGTTCCAGACGTTCATTTTGCTGTTCTAATTTTTCCAGATGTTCCTTATCGTTTCTGAGGGAAACCTATTCATACATGTATAAAGGCAAACATAATAAATATTTTTTGAGTAAAAAACATAATCCATTCTGAATGTGGAAGGTGAATGATGGAATTTTGAATTATGATGCAATTTTCAACAAGTGCATGTCCATGGACTTAAGAGGTAAAATAGCAGAATTGTGGAAAAATTGAAAAGCACTCTAGCTGTTTACTTAGGACAAAAGACCCATAGGTTAAAAGCAAGTGTGTAGAATACTCATGAAAAATTTATATTCATCAGTTATGTTGCATCCACCACTCCAGGCTCAAATAACCTCTAGTTCTTTTTCTTGTTTCCTGAGTTCAATGAGCTTTTGATGGCTATCAAACATTTTGGGTGGTCCAACCTATGAATAAAGAAACTTATAAGCAACACTCATTTTCCTACATGATTGTTTACCAAAAATTGCATGTATCTTTAAAGAAGAAGTACTTCTGTTGAATGCTTAAATGCCACACTGGTTACACTCACTGCTTTCTCTGTGGCCTCCAAAAGCTGCTGCTGAGACATCTTTGCAAATTCTTGCACTTTATCCTGTGAGAAGGCATTTTGAAGAGAAAAGGAAAGATAGTTAAATCAATTACTAAATGAGGATTGTGTTTGATACTATCATGTGTGTCGTGCATTTCAGTACCTGTGGAAGAAACTGACAAAGGTTGCCAACTTGCACATTTAACTTTTTGGTCAGCTCTTGAACCTAAGGACAGGCAAAACAAAAGACTTCATTATCTTTCAAGGATAATCAGCTGAAGCTTTGCATGAAATAGATGTTTCACTGAAAAAAAAAAAAAAAAAAGAAAAAAGAAAAAAGAAGTACCTAAACACACTAACCTTTACATTACAACAGCATACTTTTTAGTTTCTTTGATACAATGGAAACCATTTGATAGGCCTTTCAGTTCTGATTTAATTTTTTTGAAGGGAAAATACATGCAGTTGCACAAAGCAGGAAGCAGTTTATACAGAGTCAATGACTACTTTCAAGTCTAATACACTGAACATGTATGCATACCTCTTTCATTGTTGATCCCTTTCCATTAATTTTCCAGTTGGATCTATTCTCATTTCTGTACATTTCTCTGGTTATAATGTGATTCCTTTCATTTGAATTGTGTCTACAAGATGTGATTATACATGGATAAACAAATAAAAAGAAAATAATTCAAACCTAAATATATTACAATGATAGGATGTCTGCTTGAAATTAGTCAATTTCCCACTACTGTTAAAAATCATGTAACTGGGTTTCTTGTCCCTCACCCTGTAAAAAAATACACATTTTAATAAGGGAAATAAAGCTCCTTACAGCTCAATCTCTATCATGGCTTGAGATGCTCCATGTTTGATGAAGTCTCTTACCTAAGAAGATATTATTATCAGCAAGTTAATAAGACTTAATAACAGACTGTCAATTGTACTCTAGAAGTCTCAAATAATAATTTCAGCCATAGGCACTCAAGACGTTAAAAAATTTTTCACCCCCTAATCGCACATAGTGCCAGACAAAGTAAATACTGTGTATACCAGATTTTTCACACAAACAAATAGACACTATATGGAAGATCATACAAGTGATACAGGGTTCACCAACATGTAAATGTAGCTCCACAAACTCTAAAATTCATTTAACCAAATTGTGGTGCAACCCTGTTGAGTAAACATACAGGAATAGAGAGTACTAAATGTACATCAGATATATATATATATATATGTAAAATTTCTAGTGGTTCACACCTACCTCTGTTGCTCGGCCAAGCAGCTTGGTAGAACCAGCAAGCCCCAGGCAGATTGCGCAGACTATAGATGATTTGCCAGTCCCTGTTGACAAGAGAAGCCCTCCATTCACTTCACAACATTATCATTGTGTCTAAGTGTATTCATGTACACATTCATTCATGAAGCAACAGTCCTGGGAAATAGTACATTATTTCATCATCCTTATCTCTTCCATTTTTCTTTTCTCCATTTCCTCTTTGTTTGTTCCTAGCTTCAAACATATCTTAAATTTGTCCTGACTGTCTCTTATTCACTCCATTTCTCTACTATTCTTTAAATCCTTCTGCCCCCCCCCCCACCCCCTCCCCCATGGTTCCCGATATAGTTCATTTATAAAACAGCAGGATGTTGGAACATACCATTTGGTCCAAGAAGCACATTTAAATGTGGACCCGGCTTAAACTCACAATCTGCATACGTCCTAAAACAAAATTTAAAGTTAAGAAAAATCTTGGATGTGTTTAAAACATCAAAGACGAAATTAAAGAACATCAAAGGTAATTATGATCTTCGAAAGAAGCATCACTCACACATACACATGATAATCAGACCTGAAAAACATAGTTACGCGCTCCTTGAGATTGAATACTTACACAAAATTTCGCATCTTCACACGCACTATCGAACCATCAACAAAGCTGGCGTTTTCTTCTTCTTCATTAGACTGGCCTGCAGCGGCAGATTTTCCTCTTTTGATCAAATCAAAGTAACCTCTTTGGCTGGAATTTGGCCGTTTGGACGCCATTTTAGTGAAATTTCCCGCGAAATGTGTTTTTTGCATACGGGATTTTGTATTCCCAAATATAGAAAAATATTCCATATTTGGAGTACTCTAGAGGTACGAAGTTGCGGAAAGATATGCAGATCTTTCGGAAACAAGAAGCATTCACGGTGTCTCTGGGTAATCCATAATAATATAGCCGATGATATGATGCTGATCTTCCATTTTCAGTCGAAAGCTGTGCGCTCAGACAGAGAGGGAAAAAGGATTCCTGGAAGATGTATAGATTAATACGCTATGAGCAAAGGTAAACATAGTTTTCGCAGAAAATGGAAACGTGACAAAACATGCTAATATAATGCTGAAAGTCTTAATAACAGCTGTTTTTGCTCTCCTTCGAGGTTAATAGTATCTTTGTTAGGACCTGATCTTTGATGCTCTCGGTAACCACCTTTTAATCTCGAAGTGAAGCGCTTTGTCTGCTTTCGTAAACGTAAGAATTAGTTATCGTGTGCGTTTCCTGACACTCCATTGCAATTGATGACATATATGAGGGATTCACGATCGATCCAGATCGAAGCAATATGGAGAGCCATTTAAGTAACAGTAAGTAATTTGTGCCTCAGTAAGTGTGTCGATATCGCAGTGATTTTGTTCCTTGAGGCGCCCATTTCTTTGTGTCGGTACACCAGATTTCGATTGTCTTGTAATTAAAGAAATAATTAGTTGTTCGTTTCTGGCATTCTTCTAATAATACCTACAATTCTTGGTTAATAGAAGACAATGGCGACTACGCTTTGTTTTTGAATTGTACGGGGTTTCCAAGTGTTAAAGAGAAATCGTTCCGTTGCAGTTACGACCGAAGTTCGTTGATCGCGTTTATGTCATCTATGAAAATAAAATGCATATTTACTCAGCTATTTTTTTTATATTTCAAATACAGCATGCACTTGGAATAATTTTGGTATCATACCTGAAATGGTGATCACTTTGTGGTTGTAAAAGCAATTATTTGTAAAAACATGTTAAAGCTGTAAACTATTGTATAGTATTGGAGGAGTTTTTGACTTTAGATTTGTCTCCTGATCATCCTTCTAACTCTAACCTAACCCTAACCAACAGCTAAGGACATCTCCCTTTTAGTTACATCCAGAGATAAGTAACATCTATCATGACATACGACTGCTTCTACACTGTATGCATAAAAAAGAGTTATCTTAGTTCAGATTTATCATTTCTGTTTCCAGGTGTTAGGAAACAGTTGTTTGAAGCCTGCACAACAGGTGATCTTGACACACTACTACAAGCCATTTACCACAATCAAGATGTAGTAAAGGAGCTAATTTGTGGAGAAGATGTAGCTAGCTCAACTTTGCCCAGAAATTTTCTTCATGTGGCCTGTGAAAATGGTCATTTGGAAGTGGTACGTCAACTTGTAGCCTTTGGTGCTAATGTCAATCAAGCTGTTGAAGAAATTGGAACTCCCTTATGTGTTGCATGTATAAAAGGATATGCAGACATTGCAAAATATTTGTTAAAAGAAGGTGCATTTGTACATAATCCTGTATTTGGTCATTTGTCGCCAATTTTACTTGCCTGTAAATCTGGAAAACATGATGTGGTGGAATTTTTATTATCTGAGCAGCCCAGTCTCCTTGGATCCCATGGACCATTGCTACTCTATGAGGCATGCAGACTTGGGCATGTCCAGCTGGCAAGACTGTTGATCAGGAGAGGTGTTGATGTGAACCCACCATCTACATTGTTAGACTCCCAGGGAAGGAAATCACCAGGCAGTCCTCTCAAAGGTGCATGTGAAGGTCATCAGACTGCTGTTGTTAATTACCTTATTGAAAATGGGGCCAAAGTGACCTGTGATCTTGTAGAGAATTATTGGGAACTTATTGGAGAAGCTCTAATGAGGTAGGATACTAAAATCTTTTGGAGTATTTAGTTTGCTGGGTTTGATTGGCAGCACAAACAAACTTTGATCACTGTCTGTCTCATGCACTTGGAGACAGACACAGGAGATAATAGATACATACATGGACAATAATATTGCATCTAACAGGAGGACATGGGAAGCTTGCATGTGTTGGCATGGCTCTCACACTTTGATAATGAAAATAAAATTTTGAAATTTAATATTTATATGTAATTTCTGAGAAAAATTTATTTGATAAACTAAGGTATCATGTGGCAACCTTGATGTGCCATGACATTATTTGTATTTTTAATTTGGCTGCAGATACACCAAAGAAACTAGGAACAAACGCAAGACAGCACTTTCTTTTGAAGTTGATCCAAGTGTGACAATGTTTTCTGCTGCTTGGAGTAAAAAAAATTTGTACGCCATTCATAAAGCTTGGTTTGTTAACTTGTCAGCAAGACTTGTGAGTATTGACCTGTCTGATAACTGCATTAAGGAGCTTCCAGAAGAGCTGTTTAATATTCTTCCAGCCCTTGAGGAGCTTGATGTGTCTAAAAATCAATTGAAATATTTACCAGAAGTTATCAGCAGCTACACAAGGTATAACGCCATACTGTATGGAAATAATGTATTTGTTATTTGTAAAACGCTTTGTCCACAAAAAGGTGAAAGTTTTATAATCTCATTTACATGTGCCCTTTGAGAGTTAAAACTAGGACCCCAGCCTATTAAGAACTTAATTTTACCTTCCCGACTTTATTTTCATGTCTACATTGATGTTATGAGAATAGGTAAAATCGAAGCTTCCGGCTTTGAGTTAGACAGTAACTTGATTATGACGGTTTTTTCCCAGCAACGGAATTTTCTCGGAATGACGGTCTCTAAGTTTGCTGTTATAAAATAACGACAGGGTGTTTGGTTATTGTTCCTGAGTATCACATTTCTATTTTCGTGGAATCGAGATTCTGTGAACCCTTTGCAAGTCGATATAGATCTAATTCGTCCTCTGCGTGACTCGTACTGAGCATCAACAAGAAAATTATTGACTGATATAAAGAAGGGAAAGTTACTTCGATTCTGAGGAGCAAGCAAATGAATTGCGCTACTTGATCTTGCATTTTAAGATTAGGAAACTGACGTTTAAAAGAGACGTTGAAAAACTGTAACGACGGGATCGGAATGAACAAACTTATTAGTTGTAAGGAACCCTTGTAACTTACCCGTATTAATCAGATATTATAAAATCCAGGTACATCTTCGGACATACTTAGTGATTAAAATGTTCAACTTCTCACGCCGTTTCTCACCGTAATTAATCTTCGAAAATAAAACCTCACTCATAATGACAGATATAGAACGTAAATCCTCCAACATCCTGCGAGCAAATTTATATATTAGCCAGTCTGTCTCACAAATCACGTTTTCTCACGGAGTCAGCTCAAAATAAATTAGTGCGAAGAGGCACATTTCTGAAGCCGGTTTATTTGATCTAGCCACAATGGCATGTCTTCTTACGTGTAAATGCCTCATTGAATGCAAATTTAACATTCACTTTATCCAACAGGATACAAAAGCTATCAGCTTTTGATAACCAGCTGACATGCGCCCCTGTCTCTTTGTTTCAATTACCCACAATGAAGAAACTAAACCTCGCTCAGAACAATATCTCTTCCTTATTTGGCGAGCTGGAAGAGGGCGAGGAAGCTGATAGCGACACATGGGGCTGTACTGCACTGAAGGTTCTAACATTGTCATTCAATCAACTAAAAAGTTTACCTAACGGTATTCAGGGAGCTGTCGGGCTCACAAAACTATATCTGGATCACAATAATCTACGAGACTTTCCGATGGCTTGGAAATGCCCCTTGGTAAGATGAATGTTGTTGTCGTTTCACTGCGTATTCATATGTTTATTAGAATTGATATGTACAGTTTCTGTTTGAGAATTGATATGTAAACTCATTGAATACGATTATTGTCTTCTTGGTTCAAAGGAAATCCTTGACCTTTCGCACAATAAGTTAACCAGTTTTTCCTGTAACATGGAAATGGTGTGGGACACCTCTCTGAAGCGTCTCTATCTTTCAAGCAATAATCTGGGATCCATTTCTTGGAACTTGTGTCAGTTGTCAGGACTTCAAGATCTAGATATGAGTCACAATAACATTCGAATGTTGCCAAAGCCAGAATTCTGGACATGCAGCACTTTGCACAAGCTAAACCTTTCCTTCAACAAGGTAAAACGGCTAAAATAAGTGAAAATTATTGTTGCTTTTCTGAGTGACGAACATCTGGAGGAAGGCGCTTCTCTTATTCTACCTGGCTGACTGTGATCTGTGATCGATCTTAATTGAATGAATTTGATTTTACTCTCTACAGTTATCCGCCAAACCACTTGTCGAGTCACAGATGGGTTCTTCAACACTGAAGCGTTTCCAATTTTTCAAAGCCTCCAGCTCAGAAGATGGTCAAGAAACAAAGACTGACTGTGAATTTCCTACAGCACTATTTTCTCACACGCTAGAGACACTTTCTGTAAACGACAACAACTTACAGTCCTTACCCTTAAGTATCTGCGGATTGATGAGCCTCATCGAACTGGACTTAAGCGAGTAAGAATTATAGTAATGTTTCAGGGCAGTACTAAGTTACGATCTTATTCTCTCCCTCACCCATCTCTTTCTTGTCTTCTTCCCTTAAATACCCTTTATAATGTAATTACGGGTTGATTATAGTTGAGGTTTAATTCAAGTTGCCGCTGGGTGAAAGCGAGCAATTAAGGGCTCCAGTTATTGGCACGTATCTCCTTCCTTAGCCTCGTTTACAGTAATGAGAAGATAGCTGGAATCTAATTCGAAATGAATGATTGATAACTTTCACTCACATTCTCTCCAAAGTTAATGCTATTTTTTTACGTAATTTATTTTGTTGTTTTGTTTTCATGCAGTAACCCTGAACTGCGCACACTTCCTCCTGAACTTGGCAACTTACGCGATTGCTGGCAGCTCCGATTGAACAAACTAAATCTTTCAGGCATTCCTAAACACGTCAGACCTGGTAAGTGACCTTGGCGTTGACCTGGACCTCTAATGATGAAT